TTATATAAATTATTAATTTTTCTAATTTATATTTAAAAAATTAAAAAATTAAACTAAATCTACTTAAAATAAACAAACATATATTTATATCAACTTTTAATAATTTATAACTAACTGCTCTTTAAAATTTTAAGGTACATGTATTCATATTTAAATTAATTAATTTCTTAAAATATTACATCAAAAATTAAACATAAATTTAACCTACAAAACGAATTGCTTCACTTTCTTTTTACTCTACAACTGGAAAGGAAACAAAGTAATTTATTTCAACAGAGATTGGGTTGGAATTTGGAGTAACAGTCTCGAATTTCTAGAATGAATTATGTGTACTTTCCCTTCTAAACGAAACCATAAACAAACAGCATTAAAGATCAAATTAAAAAATTACACCCAATTCAAATATCATGCCAACCCAATCAACTATAAATCTACTTCATCAATTAAAGAAGCCAGCAAAATGGAACAGAAACTGTACCTTTTGCAGTGACGAATTTCAGCCCTCAAATTTCTTCCACCCTTCTTTACTTTCTTCATCCTCCCTTCCTGTACTGCTACTGTGTTTTTCTGCATCTCTCCTCTTTCCATTGACTTTTTCTTCATTTCCAGGTTCTTCCTTTTCCCATTTAGCATGGATTTCTCTCTACCCGTGTCCAATTCCAGATTTTTCTAAATTCAAAATGTATCTTTTTGAAAAAAATAAGTAAATAAATAAGGAGAAAGGCTAACTTTTTCCCTTTCTTCTTTGTCGTAAATTCAACTGCGCCATTTCGCTTTCTTCAATTTAGTCTGGGTTCTGGAATTGGGCCTGTTCAAATGGAATGGAGAAGCTTAGGTTTCCTGTTGGGCTTTCTAAGCCCAATTTTGTTTTTCAAAATCAAAAATTTTTTAAGCCCGATTTGTTTTTCCTGTACCTTATTTTCCGTTTGTCTACGTTGATAACATTAATTAATAAAGGTTTATTATGTGGTAAATAATGGGAAAGATCGATTATAAAAAAAACAGGGGATGGAGATCACAATATTGTTCTTTTTAGCCCCAAAAATATATATTATTTGGATCTCATACCTCGATTTAGTGGTTTAGATCTTAAGTTAATGTAAATTATTTTTTGTAGGCTATGCATTTGAATTCTACAAATTTCGTTTCTCAATCTCCTTTTATTTAATATGTATTAATTTTTTTTAAAAAATAAAAATACATTGTTCTTAACTTTATGTCCAAATTTAATGTATTTAAAAAATGAAAAGTTCTTTCAAAAATTAAAATATATATAACATAAATAAATTGAAAAAAGTGTTATATAGTTACAGTGCATAATGTAAACCAATAGCTCGGACAGGCCTCCCAGATGCAAGGAGACCCTCTTAATGTGATATGCTTTGTATTTTACGATGCAAAGTAATTAAAATTACAAAATACTATGCTGTAAATAAATATATCAATGAAATAATTGTAAGCAACATCATTTCACTCATATATATGAAACACATTTCATCTACTTGTTATATTCCTTTGCAAACATTTCTATGATCTTACTAATTTTCAAACCACATCTGCTTATGAAATCTAAATTAAAAAGGAAAAAAGTTTTCAAGACTTTTTTTTAATGACTCCAACGTTGAACCTATTGTAGAGAACAAAATTAGAAAAATTAATTAACATATTTCCGGTTCTTTTCCCCATTGTTTTTTTGGAATTAATAATATGTTTTTCTTTTCCCCAAAAGGGCCAAAACACACTTTATTTGCTCTATATGATACTAGTAAAAATTAGTACTCGTAATTACCCCTCGGTTAATTTAGTGGTTTCCACGGTTAATCATTTCCTTGGTACTGATTAAGCGATTCCAACCTCAACAACCTCATCTCCTCGTTGAACTTCTTCATAAATGCCTCAACTCGTCGATTCTTCTCGTCCTAACTCAGCAACGGTTCCTTTCTCAGCTTCAATACTGAAGCCGAGGACGAGCTCACTTGCATCGGTGACATCTGGAAATTGGTCTGGTCCTTGGACGTTTCCGATTTCTTCACCACCAGCGACGGCTCAGCGAGCGAATCCACGTTCACCTAATTCTCCCATGTGTCCTCGAACGTCTCTGATTTCTTCAGGTGCCTCGATAACGGCATTTCCTTCTTCTCCGTAATCATTTTCCAAGTGCTCTCCATCGTCTCGTGCCGTTTCGGCTTCTCAACTCTCAGCGATCGACCACCTAGTTAACAACAAATAGAATATATAGAAAGAATTATTAACGAAATTAACATTTTGTCAATCTTGATTCTGAAATTTAAACATGCAGGGGAAGGATATTTTGGACTTTTGAGCAGTGCATCAAGCAGACGCCATTGTTGCATGTTTTGAGCAAGAAAATAACGTTTCTTGTGAAGAACACAAAAATCAAAAGCCCCGCCAGAGAAATCTCACCAACGACGACCGAAGAGCCTGTAGAGTCCTCTTTTTTTTCTCTTATTAGGGATTTCCACGTCTAGTTTCTCCTTTGGCCCCTCGATTTCGTTTTTGTCCTTAGCCGACCTTATTCCTTCGTTTTCATCTCGGATTTGCACCACCATGTGCGACGGCAGCTCTAGGGCTTAAGCGTCTGGGGAAGTGAATCTCTGTTTCCTAATTTTCGACCAGGTCAGTATCTCTACCTTTCTGAGAAGGTTTTAGGGCTTTTTTTTTTCTGCTCTCATGTCGGTCTCAAAAGAACTTTACCCATCTCAAGAGGACCTCCCCTACGAGGAGTAGATCTTACGCAACCCTTTTAGTCTGAAGTTGTGGTGGCGTTATCTGATTGCTAAGTCAGAAGCTCCCTTCAGTAACCGTTTCATAATCTATGAGCGCGCACTTAAAGCTCTTCCTGGTAGCTACAAGCTATGGCATGCGTACCTGCGAGGACGCCTTGAAATTGTTAGAAATCTACCCGTTACTCACCCCAAGTATGACACCCTTAACAATACGTTTGAAAGAGCTCTTGTTACAATGCATAAGATGCCCAGGATATGGATAATGTACTTGCAAACCCTGACGGAACAGAAGTTGATTACTAGAACGCGTAGGACTTTTGACAGGGCTCTCTGTGCATTGCCAGTGACTCAGCACGACAGGATTTGGGAGCCTTATTTGGTATTTGTGAGCCAAAAAGGTATCCCTATTGAGACCTCACTGAGGGTTTATAGGAGGTACTTGAAGTATGATCCTTCTCACATTGAAGATTTCATTGAGTTTTTGCTGAATTCAAGTCTGTGGCAAGAGGTTAGCTTCTGTTTTGAATGATGATACCTTTTATTCAATAAAAGGTAAGACAAAACACAGACTGTGGTTGGAGTTGTGTGACCTGCTTACAACACATGCGCCTGAGGTTTCGGGGCTTAATGTGGATGCAATAATTAGAGGTGGGATACGGAGGTTTACAGATGAGGTAGGAAGGCTATGGACTTCGCTTGCTGATTATTACATTAGGAGAAGCTTGTTTGAGAAGGCTAGAGATATTTTTGAGGAGGGTATGACAACAGTAGTAACTGTGAGGGACTTTAGTGTAATATTTGATGCTTATTCACAATTTGAAGAGAGTGTGATTGCTCACAAGATGGAGAGCTTGGATTTAAGTGATGAGGAAGAAGAGGACATACAAGAAGAAGCGATTGAGGAGGATGAAGATATTCGTTTGGATGTTGATCTGTGCAAGTCAAAACACAAGTTTGAGAGGAAAATATTTAAGGGGTTTTGGTTGCATGATGACAAGGATAAAGATCTGAGATTGGCTCGGTTGGAGCATTTAATGAACAGAAGGCCAGAGCTTGCCAATAGTGTCCTCTTACGTCAAAATCCGCATAATGTGGAGCAATGGCACAGGAGGGTAAAGATTTTTGAGGGTAGCCCAACCAAAGAGATTTTGACTTACACAGAAGCAGTGAGGACGGTTGATCCCATGAAAGCAGTTGGAAAGCCTCATACCTTGTGGGTTGCCTTTGCTAAATTGTACGAGAACCACAAAGATATAGCTAATGCTCGAGTGATTTTTGACAAGGCAGTGCAAGTAAACTACAAGACTGGATCATCTGGCTAGTGTTTGGTGTGAGTGGGCAGAAATGGAGTTGAGGCACAAGAATTTCAAAGGGGCACTGGAGTTGATGAGGCGGGCGACAGCTGAACCATCAGTTGAGGTGAAACGATGAGGTAATCCTTATCCTTCCTCATTTACTAGGACTTATGTTTCTGGTGTTTTACTGATTGGTATTATACTCACTCATTATGTT